CTAGTTGGGGGTGTCCCTGCTGACTGCGGGGGGTGGGACTAGATGGCCTTTGGAGGTCCCTTCCAGCCTGGGCAATTCTGTGATTGGGCCGTAACGGCTCCCCAGGGACCCACAACTGACCTGTCCCTCCTCCCTGCGGGATAAATCACTCCTTTTTGTCCTTTTAAAGGTGACAGAACAACCACAAACCCACACACTACCACAGCAACTCTCCATCTCTTCCCTGGCGCTCGACCCGAGGAGGGCAGCCCTCTCCGGTCACAGACCGTGCCACGGAGCCACCTTGAGCTCGTTATTTCTGTTAATTAAAACCCGTCAGGTTTCCCTTTACCCCACAAAAGCAGAGCTGTCACCCTGGAAATCACCAGGAGCCATCCAACACCACACCAATCCCTGAGAACCGCCGGTAACGCGGCGCTGGGCACCTCGTAAAGGTTTATTTTTATGAGCACAAAGTCCAGAATTGGGTGTTTGAGGAAAAAAGCCAGTGGTTACTTGTTTGCTCAGCAGCTCCGAGGTCAGGGCACATCCCAACTGCACCCTTTTATCTCTCTCCTCAGGGTGAAGGGGGTCCTGAAGGGGTGGTGGGGTTAGCACTGAGGTTTTGGGGTTAAACACTCCTTCATTTTTGGGGGAAGATAAAAATAAGAAAGGGTCCAGCTGTGGTTTTGGAGAGATGAAACCAATTCCTGCACCAGGGTGGGAAGAACACGGTTTTAACTCTCTCTGCGCTCCCTTCTCCACAGGAACAGACACCAATAAACCCCAAAACAACCAACAGCTGCATCAGGAACACAAAGGACTTTAGACACAAGTATTTTTAAGAGGCTGAGTGCAGTCACGCTGCAGGACTTTAGACACAAGTATTTTTAAGAGGCCGAGTGCAGTCACGCAACGCGGCGCTGGGCACCTCGTAAAGGTTTATTTTTATGAGCACAAAGTCCAGAATTGGGTGTTTGAGGAAAAAAGCCAGTGGTTACTTGTTTGCTCAGCAGCTCCGAGGTCAGGGCACATCCCAACTGCACCCTTTTATCTCTCTCCTCAGGGTGAAGGGGGTCCTGAAGGGGTGGTGGGGTTAGCACTGAGGTTTTGGGGTTAAACACTCCTTCATTTTTGGGGGAAGATAAAAATAAGAAAGGGTCCAGCTTTGGTTTTGGAGAGATGAAACCAATTCCAGCACCAGGGTGGGAAGGACACAGTTTTAACTCTCTCTGCGCTCCCTTCTCCACAGGAACAGACTCCAGTAAACCCCAAAACAACCAACAGCCACATCAGGAACACAAAGGACTTTAGACACAAGTATTTTTAAGAGGCCGAGTGCAGTCACGCTGTGTCACAGAATGCTATGGGGTTGGAAGGGACCTCTGGAGATCCCCCAGTCCAACCCCCACCCAGAGCAGGGCCACCCAGAGCAGGTCCCACAGGAACGTGTCCAGGGAGGGTTTGAATGTCTCCAGAGACGGAGACTCCACCACCTCCCTGGGCAGCCTCTGCCAGGGCTCTGCCACCCTCAAAGTCAAGAAGTTCCTCCTCATGGTTAGGTGGAACTTCTCATGTTCAAGTTTGTGCCCATTCCCTGTTGTCCTGTCTCTGGGCACCACTGGAAAAAGACCAGCCCCATCCTCCTGACACCCACCCTTGAAGTATTTATAGGTGTTGATCAAATCCCCCCTTCAGCCTTCTCTTCTCCACACTAAAAAGTCCCTCAGCCTTTCTTCATCATGGAGATGCTCCAGCCCCTCATCATCTCTGTAGCCTCTGCTGTCCCCTCTCCAGCAGTTCCCTGTCCTTCTGGAACTGGGGAGCCCAGAATTGGTCCCAGTGCTCCAGCTGGGGCCTCCCCAGGGCAGAGCAGAGGGGCAGGATGACCTTCCTCCACCTGCTGCTCACACTCTTCCTGATGCCACCCAGGATGCCCTTGGCCTTCTTGGGCACATTGGTGGCTCATGGGCATCCTGTTCTCCACCAGGACTCCCAGATCTTTCTCCTCAGAGCCTGAGGGTCCCTCAGAGCCCCATTCCCTGAGGGCAGGGAAAGCCTCCTGCCACCAAACAGCCCCATGGCACGGCCACCTGGCCACCGCTCTGCTCCAGGTCCACAAAGACCAGGCTCTTGGTAGATCTTCACCACAAGCTCTAATTGTCACAGCCTCCAGAACACACAGGAGCTCGCGACGCAGAGGTGGTGCCAGCAGAGAGTCTTCTCCTGCCCCCAAAGGTTTGGGGTTTTTTTCTTCTCTGGGGAAAGCCACCCACACAACTACCCCACAGCTCCTCCCATCTCTGAGGAGTGATCACCTCTTGAAGGAGAAAAAGCCAACTGTGCAGAGCAAGGCGGGGAGCAGAAGCAGAGGACTATCTGGGCTCTGATTTAAGAGCTTCAAGAAGATGCCACCACATCAATGAAGAGCTGTTGGCAGCAACACAACCCATAACCTCGGTGCTGCCCCACCAGCAGGCAGCTGGTGAGGAGCACGGCCCCGTTTCTCCTCTCTAACTCACCTCCTGCTGCTTCTCCTCGTTGGGGTAGGTGTCCACAAACACTCCCAAGCCCAGAAAGTTATCCTTGCTTCCAAAGACAGGTCCTAGAAGGAAGGAGAGGCTATGGATGAGGGTGGCAAGGTGTCACAAAGGGTTTGGTACCCATCTCTTCGTGTTTTTCTCTACCAGGTAATAAGGAGCACGCAGACCCTCCAGGCAGGGAAGTCAAGATGAAATCCCCCACCCCTTGCTGCTCAAGGATCCAGCTTTCTCCAAAATCCAGCTTTTGAGGAGCCGAATCCCAGCACAGGAGGCCCCACACGTCCCTTTACACCACCCACCTCCAGATCAGGGCAAAACCACCCCAAATCCACCCAGCCCCACCATGAACCCCCAACCCAGGGCGCTGAGGCTCAGCAGCAGCATCAGGCACCACCATCGCTCCCTCCTTCCCTCCAGGGTGAAACAAAACCAGCCCTGAGGCCCCAAAACACCACGATTCCCCACTGAGATTTCCCCGAGGGAGCCTGTAGACCAAGGGAGGTGTCCTCGAGAAGGTGACACGTGCCACCAGGCACCTTTCCCCAGGTGGCAGGACCTCCTTTACCTGGCTGCATGCGGTCCTTGGTGTACCAGATGGCAAAGCCGTCCCCGTTGAGGTTTTTCTTGCCTTGCCCGTGGATTTTAAAATGCACCTGCATCTCCCAGTCCCGCAGGTAACAGGGCTGCGAGGGAAAGGAGCCAGGAGGTGAAACTGGGGGGGTGTCCCCTCACACCAGCACCTCCACGGGCCACCAAACCAGAGAGCACACCCTGTTTCCCTCCCCAACGGACCGTGCCATCCTATATTCCAGACACCAGCGAGAATAATTAATCCCAAGGGATATCATTAAGCTGAGGGAATCACTCATTACCCACAGCTATTCTGGTAAGAACCTATTCTGATCTCAGGTTATTCCAAGGCGACGGCAACTCTGGCAAAACCAATAACTCACACCCAGGAAAACGAACTCAGGAAGAGTCCGAGGAGCAGCTCCAGCTTCCTAATTGCTGATGAGCCAATTATTTTTGCAGCTACCAACAAATTCCCTGCCCTAACGAGCACACAACACGACGAGCTTGTAAGATTCGCTCAGGTGAGGTTGTGAAGCCACTGGCAGCTCTGCTTGGAGGACACATTTCAAGGGTGTCATAAGCCCAAATCTCCCTCGTTATTTTATAACAATAAAATTTGAGCGTAACGGGTCATTTTGGGTTTCGTAAGGCATTTTCCAAACCACTGGTTGGATCTGGTTCCCCCAACCACCCCTCACCACCTCCAGTAAACCCCCAAAACCTGCTGGCCTGGACCCCCATACCCCCTCATTTGACCAGATCTGCCCAGCTCCACTAGCCAAAATCCCCCCCCACCAGATTAAACCC